TATTTGACTTGGCAAGAGCCCTGGGTTTATCTGATTTATTTTTGTAAGAATTGGGCCCCATGGATATTTAGAAATGTTTCACGAAAGAGCAGTAAAATATAAATGAAACAAGCAAAACTCCACTTTCAAAGGCTGCCTTTAACTCCATCGTCACTGTTGTGATAAAACAAATAAACCAGACAAATCTTTGGTAACAGCATCGAATGCAAACACTACTCTAAATTAAAACATCATGGGCTATAACATCTGGACCTTTTCCTCGTCTTCATAACGGTTCCTGTCCATTCTCTCTGAACTATTTCTCAGTGGGCACTGCAGAATGTGGCATTGACCTTGCGGACATACACAGAGTAAGAAGGCACACAGAGGAGGAGGGGCCACATTCACAGGCAGGTGTGCCCTGGCCCCGTCTGCACTCTGGGAGAGGAGAGGAGACTAGTGCTGTGCCAAGGTGTATGTGTGTATCAGTAAAGAGGAGACCTTCCATTTTAAACTTTGAAATTTTGTGCTCCAAAGCAGATATCAAAGGCCTACAATGTACTAAACCACTCTGGAAAGTTCAGGGACATATAGATTCTCAAGGACCTCTAGCTTTACTTGAAAAGAACAAAATCTTATAAACATATTCATTAGTAAGGTAAAGTCAAAAATACAATCCCAAATATGCTGAGATACACAATAATAGGACTTCAACACCTTACATTCTTTGCTAAGAGCATATGATACCAAGTTACAATCTCTGCCTCCTGACTACAATGTCTGGAGGATGAATAATGCGAACAGAAGAAGGTAAACCAGGTAGCCAGAAGAGGGCCATGTTAAATCATTCTGCAAAGCGCAGGTCATCTTCACAGGAGCAGTGATAACTGGGCTGGACTCTGAGCAGTGAGTAAAGGATACCAGACAGGGAAGAGCAAACCTTGCCTGAGAAGTTAAAAAGTGGAGGAAAGAACTAAATTCATGTGATGGGAACAATGCAACAAGGCACAGACACCAAAAGTGTACATATTGTTCAGGAGTGATGAGAAGCCCCGTGTACTCAGAGTATAAACAAAAGCAAGGAGAGGGAGTGAAGGGAAGTATCAGCTAAGCACCTCTGTGCCGGTAAGGCCACAGAGCATCTTTCAGTGTGGGAATCGGCATCTTGTAAATTCGGTCTGCTAGGTATGTGGAGGTAAGGAATTGGGGCAATATATATGAGAGGCAGACAGATAAAGCAGTTCATAGTTCGCTTAGCAGAACTATACTTAGCAGCACAAGTTGACAAGTAAAAATTATCTTGTATGTACTCTGAAGTTGAGGAATGAATATACTGAGAAAAGCCAGAAGAAAGGAGTTACAAATACAGAAGAGGAAATTAGAGTGAACACTGCATACTTGGATTACAGTTAGAAGCCCTGATAGAAAGCCATATTCGGTATCATAAACAGGTAAGTAGATTCCAAGACATGAAACTAAGTGTGTGTGTGTGTGTGTGTGTGTGTGTGTGTGTGTGTGTACTCCATTCACCAAAAGGGCACCGAAGCAATTGAATACTCAAAGCAGCAGGTATAGTTACCATTTATACGTTGGTTTCCTATTCTATTATCCACTAAAAGGAAATGGATCTCTGGAGAAATTGCTGAGTCTGGGCATGGAGGAAAGAGTAAGATTAGTGGAAAGAATTTCATTATTCTAGAAAGTAACAAAGTGCTAAAAGAAACATGGAATGTATTTCAAAAGCACATAGGAACTCACTTGAAAGAAATCCACTGGTCAAATTTGGAACAGTCTTCAATATTCAAAAAATAATAACTATGTATTACACCCATTGAATAAAATAAGTAAGCACATGTACAGAAATGAGTAAGTATGGGTGAAGAAAAATACATTATTAAAGTACAATAGGGCTGGGATTTAGCTCAGTGGTTCCTGAGCCTGCCTCGCAAGTGCAAGGATCCGAGTTCAATCCCTAGGACCACAATCAATCAATCAATCAATCAGGTACAATAATATTTAGTTACATTGATGAAATAAGCAAGCCAAAAAATCATTAGTGGAAGCTAAAAGTAGAGATGAAAGTGTGATGAGAAATATTCACACAGTCTATTGTAGATTTGATATTATTTACAAAGGGACAAGTAGAACTTTATAATGAAGAATACAAATTTAACCAAGTCGCCAAAGTGATCACGTGAGTAATGCTGACACTGTGACCCTCTCAGTGAGATGCACTCTGAGGAAACACAGCTCAGGGGCATCTGAGTCACATGACCCGAATCTAACACTGAGGAGCTGTTAGCTAAACTCAAAGTAAAGGAAGACTACAAAGTATTTGGCTTATAATTTTCAAAAGGTCAAAGTCAGAAAAACAAAAAGGCTGAAAAACTATACTACAGATATAAGACCAAGGAGACATGAAAATTTGTGATCTTGCATTTGAAACAAAACAAAAAATGATAACTATAAATTATATTGAGAAAGTTGCAAATGTTAACACAGACTACGGATGACATTATAACAACATTGAATTGATATTTGTGAAAGTTATACTACAATTACATAAGGGAGCATCCTACTTTATTAAATATGCACTGAACTATTTAGGAATAAAGAAGTCTGGCATCTCTAACATTCTCAAATTACCAGAAAAAAGAATCTACTTGATACCACTTACCACTCTACCTAATTCTCTATCTGGAAATACAGAGATTAACTGGAATAAAACATAAATAATGGGTAAAGAAAGTTAACTTTCTTTTACTTTAAACTTACTGCCAGTAAGTTTCAGAATATATTAAAAGAAAGTGAATTTACACAGTCCAGTAGACAGAGAAAGACATTCAGAGCAGGTGAGTCTGGGCATAAGGGACCTAGGAGAGGGGAGGTTAGCGAGGCCGTTCTATGACAGGCATTGTGCCTGGCCCTTCACAGCCTGCGTCCTTCCTGTGAAGTTGCTATTACCATTGTTACTTTACCAACAAGGAAACAGGATGTGGAGTCACCTGCAGAGACGCATAGGAAGTGGTAGCATTATACAACAGGTGTGGGTATGATGCTGTTTTTCTTGGTAGCACACTACCTTTCACTGGGAGGCTGCTGGTTGCCTTGGAGATCCTGGTGCCTGGAAATGAAGGAAGTCACTGCAGGAATAGCGGTGACATTGCAAGCACAGTGTGGCCAACAGAGCCTTATGTGACATCTCAAACTGCCCTTTGTGCTTGTTTTATTTATTTATTTTTTTTTGTCTCTTTACTTAAAAGTCACCTACCAGGGAATGTCCCTTGGTCCTCACAGGGCCTCTGAGATGTGAATCCTCCAAGAAAACTGCTATAACCTTCAAGCCCTGGGGCCAGGCAGTGTCTTCCTGCAATACTCCAGCAGCAGAGCCTTGGGCATTGTACAGAAGTGGTCTCCCCACCAGCGGCTCTGAGGATGAGACCTAAACACACTGCACTTTGGGTGCAGCTGTGGATGTGCCTCCCAGGGCACTGTGCCAGCCCTTCTTAGTGCTCGTCCAGCTGGCCAGCATGGAGAGGAAATAGGGCTGTCCCTCCTTCAGATGAGGTATAAGAAGTTGATTAATGACATGCAGCAGAGTGGGCCAAGAAGGGGCTTCACATGTGTTTGTCTCAGGAGAGCCGCAGCAGGCTGTGGAAAGAGAGTTGTGCCTTGTCGGGAGGGGTGGTGGGTAGCATTTGCTAATTGGGGTTTGGTTAACACTGGTGAGTGGTGAACATTCCTGCTAATGGCTGTTGCAAATGGGAAAAATGGGATCATTTGTTAATTTTACCTATGAGAGTGTTGAAGGCAGGATGGAAGGAAAGGGGTGAAAAATGAACCATGTTGGCTAAGCTGAACAAAAGTGGAAAAACCTTCTCATAATTTTCTTTAAAAGAGCAAGACACTGATTTTCCAAGGGTGCCAAGCTCCCTTGCTCTTACGAGAGTGGTCACTAATTTGTACCTGACCAGCCAACTTCTAAACACTTTGGCCATCTTCCAGTCAACTTTTTCTCCGTGAGCAACAAACACACGGTTTTTAAAATGCCAGTTGTCATAGAGGCACACGTGATCCAGGACTGCTGGGTGGTGGGGGCAACTTGTCATAGAGTACTTTCCTAGCATATGTGCAGCCATGGTTCAATGCTCTGCACCGGAGAAAGGACCTACTCGTCAGCTGATTTTGATTTAATCAAAAGGAGATGGTCCAGGTGGACATAGCCTAATTATCTAAGCCCCTCAAAAGTGGGGATTTCTCTGGCTTATACCAGAAGACAGAGCTGCAGAAAAATCACAGTCTGAGAGGGATCCAACACCAGAAAGGTCCAGAGCTGAGACAGAGGGGAAAAGCCCCATGGAGCACGGGCCTGAGCACAGCCTCCAGGAGCCAAGACGGTCCTTGGCTTACATTCAGCAAGTTGGACCCCAGGCCCACAGCCAGAAGAGCCTGAATTCTTCCCACAACCTGGATGGGCCCGGAAGCAGATTCTTTCACACAGCCTTCAGGAAAGTCCCTGCCTAGCTAACACTCAACTCCCACCTGAGAAGAGCACAGAGTAGACTACCCAGCCTTCGGACTGAACAGAAGTGAGAGATGATAAATGGATATTGTTTGGAGCCGCAAGGTGAGGTGATACTCTAGTTCTACAGAAGTACGAAAGTAATACAGCCCATCAAGCCAAGCAGCGAGGGCAATGAGAAAGCCTGTGTCTTCCCCTTCCCACAGCCCACTCTGTGAGGCTCAGGAAAGGTGCATTGCTGCTGAGTAACCTGAGACTTGACAGTCCCCAAACCAATCCTTCTGTAACAGGACCCATTCTATTACCAGCTATATGAAGTTTTATAAAACAGTTTTGATTTGAAATATTACATGAACCCATAAGTCCCCACTTCAATCTGAAACTGTGGTTACTACCACAAAGGGGTATGTGGTGGTAAGTTATTGGTTATAGATCATTCCTTTTTCAAATGGAATTTATAACTTTCAAAACCAAAATGATCCTTAACACCTACCTGTTATTGTGAGGCACTTAATAATACAGCTGGTATTCGTCACACTGAGCAGTAGAGAGCAGCACTCCAGTTTTAAGAGCAATGAAGCAAGTGGTCTACATCTGTTGACCACACAGACAGGACACCAGCCTCGGTCACTCTACGTTATACAGGCACCTACTCCTAAATAGCTCTCTGGAGCTGCCACTGAAGACAATAAAGAAATACAATCTTATGAAATAAAGTAAGCCAAAACAAATGCTATGAATAACAATAAAGCTGGGTAAGGGTTATAGACCAAGAAACACTGGACAGGGAGCCCAGGGGTGGGTGATGATCAGGACAGGCGGCTGGTGTTTGTGGACACAAGGGGCAGAATTTGGATGGATTCAGAAGGTAAAGCAAACATGATCTGCTGAAGGCTTGAAGGTGAGAAAGAGAGGAGAGTGTGACACAACTCTCAGATGTATGCCCTAACGGCATAGGTGAATGAGTTATCATCTATTGGAATGGTAAACCCTGAGTCGGCCAGGCCAAGCTGGACATTAGCCAGCTCAGGTGCGACTGCACTGGTCACTGTAGAAATAAAGACCGTATGCTAAGGAAGTGATGCTCTGGCTGAAAAAGGACATAGGAAATAGTACTTATAATAGTGAAAACTTGGAAATACCCTAAAGATTCACTATGAGGAAAATCCTTATGCAGATTATTTTGTCCTTACTGTTATGGAGTCACTAAAATTTATGATTAATCCAAGCAAGTAATAACATGGAAACCATGCTTAACAGTATGCAAGAAAATCTCAGAACACAGAGTGACATATTCTATACAATTCTAATAATACTTTACGAAGAAGGAAAAAGTTAAACTGTAGACAAAATAAAAATTGGAAGATTATCACTCTAATATTGGGTATGTTGGGATAAGGGGTTCATGAAAGTTTTTTTTTCAAAACTAAATTCTTACTAAATTTCATTATTTTGAACTCATCTATCACACATCTATAAACTTTAAAACAATACTAAATGTTGACATTCTAACATGTTAGTGCCTTTTCTATTTTTGCTGTAGTAGATTAAATAGAATCAGGGAAGAAAAATTACAAAGGGAATTTTCATGGCTTGAATCTAGATGTCCCCCAAAAACCTCATGTGCCCATTACTGGGGCTTTGGGACGTGGCTGGATCTTGAGTGTGTGATGATAGATCAGTGCAATACTGGGACTAAGGCCGTGTGATTGAGTGGGTTTAGCACAGTTCTGGGTGTAAGGAGTAGGAAGCTCCACCCTGAGTATAGGTGGCACCACCCAAAAGGCTTGTAGCCTGGATGGAATATAAAGGGAAAAATGCAAGGCTTGCTTCTGCCTCCTGCCTGCTCTGTCAAGGACTGTTCCTTCTCTACCACGCTGTCCTGCCTTGGAGGCAGCTGACTATGGACTGCATCCTCTATAAACTGTGAGCCAAAATAAACCTTTCCTCCTTTATCTTGTGGGTGTTGGGTATCTAGTCCCAGAACTAAGAAAAGTAACTAAGACAGCAATAAACACATTTTTAAACAATATTTCTTTCCATGGCTCATGATGGAACAAATGGCCACGGTGAAGAAAAAGATCTTCTGGAGTACTCTCAGAATACTGAGGCCTGGATATATTACTCAATAATGTCTTACATTGTAAAACGTTCCAAGCTAATGTGTAATCTACTAACATCTCCAGAAGTTTTGGATATCATCACTATTCCCTGACCAAAAAAAAAAAAAAAAAAAAAAAGAAATAATGACAGAGTAGTCAAGTGAAACCCATGTCTCAGAACTCATTCTGCAATGTCTCCTTAGCGCTGTCAGGGGAATGGGCATATCCACTCAGAAAGCATGCCTAGAATCAAAAATTCTTTGCCAAAAATATAGAATGATTTCTTAGATTGCTCCATGTTTGTGGTTTTCTAACATGTTTTTCAAATCCTCTTCTGGAGATATTTTCTAATGTTATTCACAACTAGAACTGACAATAAAAATTACCTTATGGAGGCCAGGTATGGGTGATCTGGGAAGACCACATAATAATATCATAATAACAGAGCACACTGGCTTTATTCATGAGGTTGTCCTTATAGAGAGAGGAACCCAAGACAAACAAAAGATATACTGCCTACGTAGATGTGTAGCTTTTATATTCAACTAAAAGGAAATCTGGGAAAGAGCATATAATATTTAGCACTCAGGCAAAAACAATGTACTTATATATTTAGATCTTAACTCTGAATGAATTCAAAATACTTATTAGGTTCCTGTTCTTTTCTAGGCTGCATAATATGGGAAGAGACCAACAGTCAAGGAATTTATTAAACATATGAATGCTGGATTACCTAGAGGAGTAAGAGGCTGGATTGAAAGTGAAAGCAGCTCTTGGGTGTTTTTGAGAAGTACCAGGCAAAAGTCATGACTCAAGGCCTCATCTCTGCCAATTCTTCCTTTGGTGGAGCACTCACCTCAGAGCTCTGGGTTTTTATTTCTAACTGCTTCTCCAATGCTGCCTCCTCAGCCAGCCACTTTGCTGTCTATGCCACTAAGACAAGAGGGATGGGGAGAATCATCAAACCCACATTTGCTTGTTCACAGAGGTTCATGATTTTAAAATTTCTGGTCCTGTAAGTAGACTGCAGTTGAGATTAAATTATTTTCTATTTGAGCACTGTGGTCAAGCTCTAGCAAAAATTATGAATAAAAGTAATGATTAATGTTTATTAATCACTTAAGAACACCAGTCATTGTCTTCTTTTATGATATTTCAACATCATAATTTTTTATGTTTATACTATTATTTTTCCACTTTAAAATTGAGGCGATTGCAATTTAGAAAATCTAGAGTTTCCCAAGATCTCGGGCATGTCAAAGGTCTCATGCTTGGGCAATCTAACCTGGACTCTGTTTGCTAGGTGAGAACTAAATTCTTGGGACAACTTCCAATACTCAACTTGGTTACCAACAACTCCCATGAAGAAGGACACCAGAAATCTGCCTCAGTCCCCAGTGGTTTCAACAGTTCAGGTGGGTATGGCACATGTCTCTTACCTGCGGTGTGGGTTAAGAGAAAATTGGAACCATCAAAGGCAGTGTGTTGCTGGACTCAGTAAGCGAGAGTTGGAAGCTAAACTGAGAAGGAAGCAAACACAAGGAAGGCCGGGGAGCCAACGCCCTGGCTGTGCTCAGCCCCAGGAGAGAGCTGCCCCAGGGTCCTCCTCAACAGGCTTCACCAGGGTGAAAGCAAGTTCCAGCACCAAGTTGACTCAGGTCTAAACTCCACGCAGAGAACAAAAACTCAGCCATCACGAATGTAGAAGGCTGAACAGGGATACGCGGTGGGGTCCACCATGAGATTGGCAGCACCAGAAAATACGTAGCCCTGGGTGGAGCTGAAATGATGAGTGACAGGGATATGTCCAAAGACTCAGAAGGAAGGAAGTGACAAAACACAGTTACATAGCAAACACTTGAACAATGTTTAGACATTAATTCTTAAAAACACAAAAAACTGTTCTGAGGATGTGCTCAAATATGAAGACGCCATTGCTCTGTGAAAAAAGCGAAAGCACGGTGACCCTGAGTCCCTTTGTCACTGTGGAGTCACAGGTGATGTCACAATGCAATGCTCGGAAGGCAGCGCCAGGCTCAGGGGGAAGAACAGGAAATGGAAGGGGGGAATGAAAATCTGCATCTCAACCGAAGGATTTCCACACTGACGAAATGAGTCAAACATCTCTGAAGCAGAAAAAGAAGGTCAGTGAATGGAAAGCCCTAGAATCTTACTGAGGAGCTGAAGAAATGTAAATATCAGTTTATCCTTCCTTCCCTCTGGCAGCTCTCCGCAAACACTGATAATAATTCAGGTATTGGTTACACGTAGAGGAAAACAGAAGGAGAAGATGAGGAACTAAGGTAGTGGGAAAACAGATCAAAGCGTTAGAGTAATCGGCACCATCAGCCAGAATTTATGGCGCAGTATCATTGCTGAGTGGGAAGAGATAAAAACCCAACGCCTGTCTAAGGCATGCGCGGCCGGGCTGGTGAGGAGGTGTAAGCAGAGAACAATTCAGCGGGCAACAACAGTCACACAAAGGACGCGAGAAACGCAGAGGGACGTGTGATTCCGCTGCGCCCCTCATACTGAGCCTAGTCGGACGGCTGAGGGAAGCGGCCGTCCCCAGGCAGTGAGGGGCACCTACCCACCCTGCCCTCCCACGAGAAGAGCCGAGCATGCCCACATGCGGCAGGCAGGAGCACGCAGGAAACCCCACTCTGGCGGTGGTAAACCTGGGGCACGCATGCCGCGGTGCTCTTAAGACAAAAGATCTAATGTGTAGGTTGTTCTTTTCTGAACTAAAACCTCAGTATTCAGGTTTTATTGTGGTGCTGGAACTCTGCAATAAGTAAGTGGGTTTCAAATTAGTGTAGGAGCCGAACCCCTCTCCGCAGTTACATGCTCCTCTCACGAACACAGACAGATGTTTCTACTGTAAGACACAGAGCAGAAATGGATGAAAGAGTGAGGCTCGGGAAAGACCTTGGTCTCTCCAGCCTCCACGCTGAGCTCCTTTCACAGACAGCGTTGAAGCACGTGTGGGGACACACATCTATGTCTTCTCGACTGCTATTCAGCGTTCCTACAGGTCTATGGGGAACAGAACCTCTCTTTGCACTAGATACTGAGAGCAATTTGATCATAAGAACAGAAGATACATCTGTCAATAAAATGTACAGGATTAAGGGCTTTGTTCTTTAAAAATCACACTAATATTGGTGAGGCACAGATACACAGCACCACTGGTACTACAGCTATTAAGAAAACAGGAAAAGTTCCAAAACTCTATGACAAAAGTTACACAAGTAATGATCTTGAGAGGAATGGAGAAAATAAAAGTTATTCAGTAAACAATTTCATGTTTAAAGCCAAGTCACGCTGAGCCCTGGAACATTCTCCCATAGTATTTCCCACGTTATCATTTCTAAGTGATAAATGTTTCCTACCTTGAGCCTACAAACCGACAAATCTGTATGAAATTTACTTGTGTAATTCTTACTTATACATATCTTGAATTCACTCATGCTTGTTAGAACAAGGAGAAAATGTCTACTGTTTATATACTTCTGATAGAGGCAAAAAGACAAATTCTAGACTTTATCCTTTTGTCCCCAAACTCAAGGTTTCCCATTGGCCCTTGATGTCAAAAATGAATAATATTCTTTGTTTCCATGTTAAGAATGAGCCCGGGACGAGGTACTCAAAAGAGAGTCTAGACTCAGAAAAGAGACGGGACTCTGAGAAATCGGGCATCCGCCTGAGCACTCAGGTGAGCAGTTACAGAGCAGACCGAACCGGAAACCCCGTGAAGGGAACCCTGGGGTGCACACCACACTGAGGACACAAGGAGTCAAGGACAAACTTGGGGCGCCCCCAGTCCACAGCCCAGAAAGTAGCACAGATCTGCTCTGCCTGTGGGCAGTCAGGGCGGGAGGGGAGTCCGGCCACTGCCCTGACCACTTTCTGCACAATCTTTCAGATGAGGCATGCAGGCACCCCGAGTCACTCGCTGAGATGCCGCCCCATGCGTGGTCACCCGTCATGTAGACGCTGCCTTTGTGTAGCTGGGGGAACTAGCCCCTGCCGCACAACACATATTTATATTCACATGTGCCTGTTGTGGGAGCAGGGCCAGCAGATCACCATGATCAGGGTGAGCAGCGACTGCACGGCTGACTGGGAGGGAAAGGGTATGGGAAGGAAGCTCTCCCACCCCTTCCTCGTCTCCCGAGAGAGGGCGGAAGGCTCCCTGTCCTGAGATACAGCGCTAACAGCCCTGCTGCAGCCATGGGCAGTGCCAGACGCCCTCACCTTTCCAGTCCGGTTTCTGTGTCAGCTGAGAATAAACTCACCCATAACAGGATGTGGCCCAGGGGGGAGACGTCCGCTCTTCCGACGCCCATAGGAGAGTCACGGGTGACAAAGTGCGAGCTACCACGTTGGCTTTTTGGCTTTGGGTGTCCTTCGAGGGGACTCCCCTTTGTAGCTTCACAAGGAAGTCATGATCCAGCCAGAGGCAGAACAGGACAGAGGTGTGAGGATGATTAAGGGTCCGCGAGGGCAGTGGCTTTGCTGCGTGGTTGCTATTGTTCCCTGGCCCAGCCACTGCGGGGACAGCAGGTGCAGGATGGAGTGTGCGCTGGGGAATCACACCCTGGGCGTCCTCTCTCGTTGACAGGGATCCCAAGAAGTATCAGCACTGAAGACAAACTCTCGAGGTGCCTTCGTGGGAAATCAGTGGTCCCGAACGTCACGAAGCCCGTCCACCAGGCCCCGGTCGGTAGACAAGCCCAGAAGCAGGAACAGCAGCCTTAAGGTAGGAGGAGCGGCGATGGTGAGTGCGCCTGGCTCTCCCTCGTGAGGACCCCGGGTTAGCCTGGTCTCGCAGAGAGCACTGAGGCGCAGGGCTGCACACCGAGGGGGCCAAGGCCTGGGCGCTTTCTCCTTCCTCCCGTCCCTTCTCCAAATGCGCATCCGAGGCTTCTAGAAAGGGTACAAGGGCAACAGGAGGGAATGCTTGGCCTGGTGAGACTGGGCGATGCGTGTTCGCAGGCAGCGCGCATCTGGGCCAGGCTTGCCTTGGTAACGTCGCCCACATCCCTTCCGAGTGACCGGCAAGGGCCGTGTGCGTGCGGGGCGACTCATAGCGGGGAGGGGACAGCGCCCCCGCCCCCGGCCTCGAACCCGCGCCTC